AAAAAAATAAAAGGGAATACAACAAGGCCCGCCGGGAAAAAAGAGCCGGCTCAGTGGGCGGAAGACAGGTACCCTCCTGGCAAGTAAGGGGAGTCCTGCATGGTTTGTCGTTGTCGCATGCATCATTGTTGTTGCCAGGGTTGACGCAGCTGCCCCCCTGGCATTGGAGAGGAAGACGGCAGGGCGACTCGCCGTCACAAGCATCACCGGGGCCTCCTGCATCGCCGCCTCCTGCATTGGGCGCAACACAGACGTTTGACTGACACTCGAGAGGGCTGCGGCAAGGCGTGTCGTCGTTGCACTCAGCACCAGGGCCGGCCAGTAGAGCACACTTGCCATTCTCGCAGGTGAGGGGAGCAAGACAGGGCTCAGCGGCGCTGCGCGAGAGAGCGTTGCAGTCGTCTCCCAGTCCTCCCGGCGCATCTTCGCCACCATCGGAGGGCGCGAGGCAGATATCGTTCTGGCACTGAAGAGGAGCCTTGCAAGGAGATTCTGCGCCGCAGGCATCGCCAGGACCGCCTTCACCAGGGTTTCCAGGTCCGACACAAATGCCAGCTTCGCAAGAGAGGGGTCGGAGGCAAGGCTTGTCCGCGCTGCACTCATCACCAAGATTGCCGTCACCTGGATCCTCTCGCAACAGGCAGATACCATCCTCGCAGGTGAGGGGAGAGATGCAAGGACCGACATTGTCGCCACAGGGGGCCCCGGGACCGCCGGTCCCGGGACCACCGACAGGGAGACAGATACCAGCCTGGCAGGTCAAGGGAGACTGGCAGGGAGTCAGGTTGCTCCCGCAGTTGGCACCCTCAGAGCCGTCAGTCGGGCCGCTAGGGATACCGATCTCGGGAGGCGAACAGACGTTGCCCTGGCAGGTGAGTGGTGCCTCGCACATGGGAAGGTTGAGGCCGCAAGCATCGCCTTGTTGACCTTCATCTCCGGGGCCAGCGATCTGGGGAAGACAGATGGCATTCTGGCAGGTAAGCGGAGCCTGGCACTCGGGGAGTCCCTCGCCACAGGCATCACCGTTCTCGCCGCCATTGTCGCCGCCGGAGTTGATAGGAGGCAGACAAATTTCATTCTGGCATTCGAGGCCCGTGTTACAAGCAGGGAGATTCTCGCCGCAAGCATCGCCCTGCTCGCCACCGTTGTCGACGATGGGGTCGATAGCAGGAAGACAGATGTTGTTCTGACACTCAAGCGTGGTCTGGCACGCGGGAAGACCCTCACCACAGGCATCGCCCTGAGCGCCACCGCCGTTGCCGCCGCTGACAGGCTCAAGGCAAATATCGTTGCGGCATTCAAGGTTCGCTTCGCAAGGGGGCAGCTCGGAGCCACAGGCATCGCCGAGGCTGCCTTCACCATCATCTCCAGAGCCAAGCTTAGGAGGCAGACAGATGGCGTTCTGGCACTCAAGGGTAGACTGGCAAGGGGGCAAGCCAGCACCGCAAGCATCTCCAAGCTCGCCTTCACCATCGCCAGGACCACCGATGGGGGGCAGGCAAACAGCGTTCTGACACAGAAGGGTAGATTGACAAGGCGGCAGAGCAGGACCGCAAGCATCGCCGAGGTTACCGCCATCGTCGCCGCCGGGAGTCGTGACTGGACCGAGGCAGATGTTGTTTAGGCATCGAAGCGGTGTCTTGCAGAGAGGGAGATCGGGGCCGCAAGCGTTGCCAGCTTCGCCTCCATCAGTATCGCCGGGTCCGCTGATAGGTGGCGCGCAAATGTTATTCTGGCAGACGAGAGTGCTCTCACAAGGAGGTAGGTTGGGACCACAGGCATCACCTGTCACGCCGCCATCATCACCACCAGGAGGAATAGTGGATGGCAAGCAGATGTTGTTCTGGCAGCTCAAAGAGCTCCGGCACGGAGGCAGGCCAGGTCCACATGCGTCATTGACGTCACCCTCGCCGCCAGGCTCTCCCAGAACGGCACATTTACCGCCACGACAGAGAAGAGGTTCGCCACAAACGGGCAGGTTGAGACCACAGGCATCACCCTCTTTGCCAGGACCAGTCACAGGATCACCGGGGCCAGTAACAGGGTCGTCAGGGCCAGTCAGAGGTGCGCAGACGCCACTTTGGCAAACAAGAGGGCTGGTGCACTGAACCAGGTCGGGGCCGCAGTTGTTGTCGTCGACAGAAGGGTCTACGCAAAGATTGTTGCGACAGATCTGGTTGCCCACGCAAGTCTCGGTGCCGCACTGTGCAGGAGGCAATGCGGTGCAGACGCCTGTCAGGCAGAGAGGGCGGTCGCCGGGACAGGCGTTACCAGGAGTTGAGCAGTTATCGGGATCATTGCTCAGGTTGACGCACGTGTTTCCATCGACACAAATTTCGCCGAGAGCGCAGGCGGTAGTTCCGCACTGGCCAGGAGGATTGGGGCCATCAGGACGCTGGCAAACACCTGCTGCGCAGACTTCACCGGCGGAGCATTTGTTTCCGGGAGTACCGCAGTTGTTCAAGTCGGTAGAGGGGTTGATGCAAATGTTGTTGATGCAAATCTCGATATCAGGCAGGCAGGGATCAGCTCCACACTGGGGAAGAGCTGCGCCTCGACAGATGCCCGCAATGCAAAGAGGCGAGGCATCTGGGCACTGTCTGTCGACGGTGCCGCAGTTCTGGGGATCGGTGCCAAGGTTGATGCAAGTCTTGTTGTCAACGCAAACCTCGCCATCGTCGCAGGGGCCGTCGGCACCACACGCAAGGGGCTCGCCTGGGTTTCCAGAGCCATCTGGCGTGCCAGTAGGTGGAGTGCGTACACAGGAGTCGAGAACACAGCTGAAGGGAGCCACGCAGTCGGAACCGCAAGCTCCAGGACCTTCGACAGGCACGCACTCGCCGTCGAGACAGGTCTCAGAAGACGTACATTGGATAGATGACGACGAGGTCTGTCGAGATTTAAGTCGGGCAGAGTCCCTGAAGCAGTTATCGGGATCCCCAAGAACGCGGCACTCCTTGGCGATACAGAGAGAATCGTCGCCGCAGGGGGGGCTGCACTCAGACTCGTCGGGACCAGGCTTTCCGCCAGGGGTGCCAACGCCCGCCCGAACCGCCAGGCTTGCCAGCTTCGCCGGATCCGCCGGGCCGGCCAGGTCCGCCAGGGAAACCCGGGATGCCGGCAGAGATGCACTCGGAGTCCAAGCAAAGAGTGCCAGGAGGGCACTTCAGGGCTTTGGGTCCGCACGCATTGGGATCCTCGCCAGTGTCGACGGAGACACAGCTTCCGAGTATGCACACGTTGTTTGCGGGGCATGGCTCGCTGTTCTCGCAACTCTGTGGATCGCCCGTGACGTCGAGACAGACTTTACCACCCAGGCAGGCCTGGTGAGGAGCACACTGCTGCGAGCCGCACTGCAGGACGGGCTCAATTTCGGAAGGATAGCACTCCTTGTCGTAGCAGAAGTAGCCGTCGCCGCACTTCCCATCGCAATCGGACGCGTCAGATCCAACGTCGAAGTCAATACAGCGTCCCCGGCAGCAGAGTGAGCTGGAGGAGCATGGTTTACCGGAGCAGTCTTTGGCGTCTCCAAAGACATCGACGCAGAGATGGCCGGCTTGAACCTTGCCAGGTGGGCAGAGTGGCGCAGGCCTCCAGATGGTGTTTGAGGGTCGGTCACCGTGAACAGGCTTGCGATTGCCGTCATGGTGAGGCTTGGAGTTGCCGCCAGCAGCGCCGCCAGACCCAGGCTTGTCGCCATGGCCGCAACTGGGATCGTACAAGTCGCTGATACAGACGCCAGAAACACAGACCGAGCCAGGCTCGCAGTGTGCAACTGGTTCACCGCAGGTGGTGTTATCTGTGCTGATGTGAATGGGAATGATTTCGCCATCGTAGCAGATGCTGCCAGGAGCGACGTCATCAGATGTCTCCCCGGCTCCTAAGTCCAGGGGCAAGCATTCGGAAAAGACGCAGAGACTTCCAGAGTCGCATGCGGTCTCGTTGGAGCCGCAGTGGGTTGAGTCAGTACCAATGATGAGGTGCTCGTAGGCGCACTCGGTGTCCTTCGAGCCACAGCCATTGGATCCGATAGTGATGGGTGTACATGAATTTTCGTAGCAAGCCCAGCCAGGGTTGCAAGCAGTCTTATTGGAGCCTTCAGCTCCGCAGCTCGTGCCGTCGAATCCAGTGTCGATGGGCTGCACGACGCCGTTGACGCAGACCTGGTTGCTGCCACAGTCTTCTTTGGCAGGGCCACACTGGAGAGGGCTTGTGAGGACCTGGATCGAGCGGCAGACATCTTCGTCACACCACTGGCCAGGCAGGCACTTTTTGCCAGCACAACTAAGCGGGTCTGAGCCGAAGACGAGGTCCTGACATGTATCGAGTACGGAAAGCTGTCCGGGTCCGCAGCCATAGCGGTCGGGGTCGATGTTGATTATGACCGAAGAACATGTGTCATCATGTTCGCCACGGGTGAGGAGCAGGTTGCTGTCGTTGTCGGCCGCTCCATTGTCTTTGATAAGGGCGCGGGCATCAGCAAGAGGCAAACCCGCGATGGATGACAAGGCCGCCAGACCAAGCCAGCTGATGTGGTTGCTCATGTTGTCGAGGAGCTGTGTCGATGCTCTGTTGTTGGTTGGAGTCGGAGAGAAACGCCGGGATCGAAAGAAAGATACGCCATGCCTCTATATAGAACCAGGAACAACCCAATATCGAGTTGGTGATCGCAGCCGGCCATTTCCTCATGCGGCGTTTCTCATGAGGCGTTTTCCATGACTACCTTTGCATATGCCACAGGCCCAGGCCCAGAACCCGGGGATGTCTATCCTCGGGGGAGCACCGACCTGCACCCACAAGTCGGCAGAGGAATGTAGCGAGGATCGACGTCGAGCCCTCGAGCTGCATGACTGCATTCGAAGAAAAACACGTTGAAGTTATCCCGAGGTACAGCTATATTGGCCCCTGTCCATCGCAGGCAAAGGGGGAATGCTTCGGGGAGTGGCAGCTATCGCGCCCTTCTCATCCTGTCGTTTGCGGCCGATGTTAAACAAGTCTTGATCTGTTGAAGAAGAAGAACCCAAGCAATGTTAGCCCTATACTCAAGACATGTTAGTGACTAGTCTCGGTAGATTGATAAGACCAGCGAGCTCCGTTCTCTGCCGCAAGCCCGAAAGCGGTGGTGCTACAAAGGGTAGGAGCAGAGAAGTCAGACTGGACAGTATCGTTGCCATACTGCAGCCACCGTTGGATACACATGCTCGACTTGGGTACTGGACCATCAGCTGCTGGGCTAGGCGCCGCTTGGCACTCGAGGACTCGGCTGTTCCAAGACACTGGTGTCACCTCCTGGAAATGCCTGATCCAGTACAACCTGTCCGCATTCTATTGTCGTAATCCGGTTGACTGCCCAGCAAGGAGGGGTGTGAACATCATTTTGGGTCCAAGTCGTACAAGAAGAGCGGCAGGCTTGGGCAGGAGGCCGCTGCATTTGGTAGAGCGGCGGTGTTGGGGATGTTGTAAGCTGTGATACAATCATGGAGTCGCCCATGTTGAGCGGGGTGTGTGGTTGGCCCTGACGGTTTCAATGCGTCCATTGATCGCCTAAATGCCAATCGCCTAGATGCCAATCGCTGGATGCCAGGGAGAGATGGTTGGAGTTCCAATCACAGGTGGTTGATCTCGGACGCAGCGTTCGCGGTGGTTTTGCTGTCCCTGACTTGTCGTTGGACCCAAGCCTTGAGCCCAGAACCCGGGTGAGCAGGCAGGCAAGGCAGGTTAGGGGTCCAGGGGTTCCTTCCCCACCACAATTCATTGGGAAGGGGCGATTTGAAGAAATGAGGAGCCGAACTGTGGGGCGTCTGCCAATGAACGACAGACATAACACAATGGACCCATTACAACTACAACCCGCATGCCAGAGGAGCTGACTCATCAGCAACAACAGAGCTGCCTGGCGTGCTCTAATGGGTGACAGTCCGTTCTGTTTCAGCATCGAATTTGCTCAGTGAGACATGCATTCTTGCCAATTCTGCCACTGGCACTGCAAGCCGGATGATTGTCTTCCGGCGGCTGCCAGCATCCAGAAACAGGGCAACAAGGGTTTTCCGAGTCTCGAGGGTCCAAACTTTTCTGTCTCGACACCATGCTCCACGGACTGTGTCGATCCCAACATCCACTGGCTGTCTCCTATCCCAAGTAGTACAGCCATACATACAACCCTCAACTGCATCTATGCTGGATCAGCAGCACCATACTATCCAGTATGCCTTGGGGCTGTTGCCTTTGTTTCTCTCTCTTGACCCTAGAGCACGTTTGCGACGTCCAAAGGTAGTAGGAGCGAGGTGGCGTTCAATGGAAGTTTGCCCCTGCGCCACCCAGCCCGCCCATCCACAATGTGTTTGCGGACGAACCAAAAAGGTCTAGATCAGAGCTGTCACTGAACCATCTCGGCCAATTGGCGACTCCACCGCTTTGATCACCATGGTATTGAATATTGCTTCTGAACAACCCGATTCTGCAGCCATGCATTCAGACGATACTCTGAAGGGTGGTCAGGTCCCGTGCCAGACTACTATTTCGCCCTGATACTGTCATATGATGTTGAGTGCAAGGTGCTGGTCAACAAGTCACGAGGAGACTTCCTGCTCAACTCACAGGGTCTAGGACTTCTGATCATGATATCTGGCCGTAGAGTACTGCAAACCATTCGTCTGCACCTCGGAAACCCTACTTTGAGCTTGCATGAACCCCGCTAGCTTTTCTTCACCCATATAGGTATTGACGAAGGTGCTGAAAACACCCCCCGCACTTGGCCGGCATCTATCCAGTCCGTCTCGCCCAGTGCTCATCGGGCCGAGTTCTTTCACCATGCTACACAGCAGTGATGAGGGTTGATTGAAAACGTTTAGTGCTTCCCTCCGCCGTCAACAGCTCGGCCTGGGCTAAGACGCACTGGGGGAGGAGCCGTCTCCAGTGCAAAGTGGGTGTCTGGGGTCGGGTGTCTGTGCTGTGAGACCCCTAGGTCTGCACAAGGCATTTTGGGTGCAGGAGATGTAATGACAGGTCACAATTCCCTTGTCTGTTCAGAATCTGTATCTCGATCCACCGGGTTATCGGACACATCTCTGCAGACTCGACCACGCTAGATCACTCCCTCCTATCGTCAGGCAACGGATCACCTCGCCACTCCCTAGAGTCTTGGCAATCACTCTTGCTCTTGATATTGACCACCTCATCGCCGTCGGGCCTTGGCATTTCTCCCATATGCTACAAGCTGTCCATAACGAGCTTCACGACAAGCATTCCTCTGGCTTGGGCTTTTACGTTGCAGGCCGAGATCTTGGACCTCGGGTTTGATGGGATCTCCTTCTCCTTTTGCCCAAGAGTGTTTGCGGTGAATGCATGTCGTGTACCCCTCAATGAATCCAGGAACGATGTGGTTCCTGGCGTGGCGTTCACAAGCGTTCATACTCGATGGCTTGCTTGGACTACATCAATACAGATTCGGTGCTTGACGATAAGAAATGTTGCATCTTGGGCATTCGTGGCGTCGTGATTAAGTTCAGCCACACATCTCCAGGGTCCAATGTGCCGAGACACTGAAATTCCAATACACGAAACCTCGTTAGCACCAACAATGCCGAGCACCTCTAGAATGATTGCAGAATAATAGGACCGGCTTCCGATAGCTGCCGCCTCATCACCCGGGCAGCAGCAGCTGACTAAGTCACCAGTGTCTTGCTTCAATCAATCCTGTACTTTGCTGGTTACCTACCTAAGGTCTCCTACCTTTGTCAGGCTCATTCAACGATGCCTTAGTCGAGAGGTCGTGACTGTGCTGTTGATAAACTCGTCTGGATATCACCGTGCCCCATGACGCGTAGTGAAAATCACACTGTCTACCCGTGTAGTAGTCTTTCGCTCCATGGGGGGACCGGCCCGGCCAGCTCAATCCGCATGCGATCGACCCGTGCTCCGGGGCACCGTAATCCTACGAGCCTGCAAGCTTGGCCTTAGATTTTCGGAACTCCTCCGTCCATTGTCTTCAAGAAGATCCTCCTCTACGGTCTTGTCTCGGGTCTGATATCCGACAAGAAGAGCGGCAACAAGAAAAGTTCTGAGAACGGTATTCACGACCACAGCGTGATTCGTTGCCCTCTGGGACGGCCTCGATCTCGGTCTTGAAAATTAGGACCTGTCAAAAACTCAATCGCGGTTGGCCGTTTACGGCACCACTACCAGTTGTCGCGGGCACCACCCGCGTTCCATACTTGTCGAGCATAAGCGTCTTTCGGATCAATCTAACCGGTCGATAATGCCCGGGGCCAGAACGGTCTTGCAACGTATCTTAAGACACACCCATAAGGCATTGTCGTACATGGCTTCCATCTGAATCTCTGAGACATTTGGTCGGCACACCTTCCGCATTCATTGAGCCACCAGCCGCCAACGAATTAGCACATTTCTCAAGCGTTGGGCGCTTGTTTCCCCACGCGAGGCAGGTCATGCTGTTGGCCTTTTCTTGCAGACGCATCCAGTTCGGTGAAGAAGAAATTCAGCACTTGGCGCATTTGTCCATGCGGGCTTTTAGCAGAAGAAACCCCAGCTTCGAGGTGGCAGGTTGCTTGCCGCCAAGCGGTTACAGCCTAGCCGGCACCGTTCTCCCACTCGCGATATTTAGGCCTTATTTAGGCCTTCAATGTTTGTCATGCGTGCGGAATCCTCCCATACACCGGTAAGCTGAGATTTCTTCTCGCAGATGTGCAGAGCAGCTGCATTGTCACGGTGTCCCATGGAGTTGTAGTACGCGCAAGCCGTGGAGGTTCTGCTGCCGCCGGCAAATAAGGGGTCTTCCCACGCATCAACACGTTTACGTGTTTTGAACTCAGAACGACACACGTTTACGCGATCTACATGCGCTGCATTTTTACTGCCCACGCTCGACGCTCGAAGGGCTGGGCAGACGAACCTTATCGCAAGCCGTGAGGTGCGGGTGGGAACGGGAGACCTGCAGGGTCCGCCGATCATTTGTACCGTGTCTTAGGGAGAATCAGGGGACCAATCAACACGTGATCTGGGATGAAGCACAACGTCTTGATGCTGAAATTTCTTTTGACAGACTATGAGTCGTTACGAAATCTGCACAAACCATGGCGGCTGAATTGAAGTACTGTTCAATGTGGTCGATGTGCTTGGAGGCGTAACTAGACATGTTCTCGATTTCGACCGCCTCAATGCAGCCAGCCTAATGTCGCTGTTGGTTGATTGACATGACGTTATGGGGGTAAAAAAGTTGGTGCATTCGATGACGATGAAGTGGTGATATTCAAGTAAAAGCAGCTAGCCTGGACTTTGTAGCCCTCTGTATAGGCAGGTATGTGGCGCTTTGCAAATTGAAGTCATGGTGCATGCATAAATTTCCTTTCTTGCGGCTCATGCCCATCAAGCCAGCCATCCACATCAGCTTGATCGAAAGGGTAATTCCTGGCTCAACGCGGGGTTAAAGAGGAATCGATTGTCAAACGACGTTTCATGGTGTGCAATGGTAGATATTGGGAGTGGTTTAGGGTTAAAGCTCCAGAGATATGGCCTCAGTGATTTATGAAACAGCTTGACGCTTTCTTCTGAACCAGACTCTGTTGCCAAGGTTGAATCAACGTTGTGGTGTTACTGGCTTTGAAATCGATCCCTTCTTGACTGAGGATTCGCGAGTCTGTTGTCACTCGATCGCTCAAACTCCTGGCCAAAGCCACCGCATCCTAGCTTGCCACCAAACTAAACCCAGAACGCACTTCCCTGCCATCGATCGACCTCTCTCGTCGGGCACTTGTGAAGACACGGGACAGGGGACCAGCTTGGGGGCTTGGGACCACGAGAGAATGTATGCATGGGCTGCGAAGGACCAGATTTTAAATATATTCCAGCCCGTACCTAAAATTAACCGCGGAAGATATCCTCACTGTGCTCAATGACCTGCTCTGACATCTACATTCCCACAAGTGCTATACTCCCTCCACCATATCGCGCAGTACTTTAGCAGGACCTGAGATCAAATCTATGAGCTTTGTCTCATGAGATCAGACAACAGACGAAATTTCTATTCATGTCATTTATGCAAGTGGCATACTCTTTTAGTTAGCAGGACAGGCGCGAGGAATTGTGATAGCATGAGTATAAATCCGAAAGTAAAAGTAAGGGACAATGCTTCAAACGGGTGGTAGAACATACTTTGCGGGTGATATAGATTATGATTGATACAGCCTCTGCACAGTTTAAGACTGTAGCAGCAACTCAGGTCCGGGCCAGATCTTGCCTCTCCCCGAAAACTTTCCTCTCACAACCCGAGCCGCTGTCCTTGTGTTGATCTCATGAGGTCCACGTCTCATGCATTCATGGCACCATCTAATCAAGGCTTCACAAGATCAAGCAAGGCGCAGAGTTTTTGAAGCAGCATGCGTTGTTCATTGAGTTACGGCTGGAAGAGCCGAAAGTATCACAGATGGGGATAGCCACGCTCTCGATCCATGCTAGAAACGTCCCTTGCTAAATATAAGGACTAGTCAACCTTGATAAAGAATTGGAGTGACAATCACACTGAAAGGACGTGAATCACAGACGCACATTGATATTGAGAACTAAGAATCTGGTTATGGGGATGCGTTCCGCTTTCTGCGCGCATGGCGGCAGGAACTTGGCTCCGAAAAAGGAGCCTAGGGACCAGCCGCATGAAAATACTCCATCGTCCAGCTTGGCGGCAGTATGGCCTGTCCATAATCTCGGGGAAACAGGCGACAGAGAATCATATGCGTCTTTTGGTGAGCCCCCCTTCGAGAATAAGGGGTGTGTTGTCGGCATTGACGCAACAACGATAACGATGCATTACAAACCTCGAATAATACAGGTTAATAACACTAGATCTTACGCTGCCATACAACGTCTTGCTCCACGAAGGTGCGCATAAGCTAAAGGGAATAGAAGAAATAGACCACGAGGTCAACAATTAGGTACAATTCTGAAGCAACTAGCTATACAGCAAAATAAATCTTATACATCGTTAAGTCATACAAACATGATACAGGAAGTCGTCCGATCCAATCAAGGCACACGGCCGGGTTCAGGAGGGCGTCAACATGACGACGATCCAGTCGACCACGCCTGCCCCATCTTTCAAGGGGGTCCAGTAGCTCATCACGCCATCTGCCTTCGGCGTCTCAACCCCCACAAAGCTCGCGAACCCAGATCGGCTTCCCGGCCGGCTGTGCTTCTTCTCCCTGGGCGCCTCCCTGGTCTCATCCTTGGGGCGGCCAGTGAACCCACCGACGAGGCTCTGCTTGCGCCGATGATTGGGGCGATGCTTCACAATGCCAAGGACAGCTTGCCTGCCGTCCCTCAGCACGCGCTCGCGAACAGTATTGCGGAAACTCTTCGTCACGGATGGCGACTGTGCGTGCTCAGCTAGCACGGTGAAAATGTCCTGCCGGGTGACGGCTTGTACAGTTTGGTCGATGCCTAAAAAAGCCAGGGCATCCTGTGATGCGAACGCGATGTCAAGTCGCCATGATTTCTCCTTATCAGAACCGGGTGACGGGGCTCGGGAAGACCGCGCATGCTGCAAGACGATGTAGCGCGAATAGAGATCCTCCGAAGTCGGCAATATGTTCAGATTCAACGTGCTTGCTGACGAAAGCGTGGGTGAGTCTGGGGCTTGCTTGTATGCCTGAGATGTGGGGGCCTTCTTGAATTGTTTGAAGAAGCCCTTTGTCGCATTGCTTCCGCTGCGCTGACGTACGCTCGATCGCCTGTCTGCTTTGCAGTCCCGGGTACTGAGTCGACGTCCGAGGGAAGGATCCTGCATGAGCCTGCTGTATTCAACTTGATCCAGATCCGCAGGGTCGTGGCTCAAAACGCGAACAATGTCGTCTTGGCTGCCAATTGTCTCAGACACGTTGATGTGCCCGCCGAGGTAATGCCGCACTGTCCCGTCCGTGGTAGTCAGGGGAAGCAGATACAGAAGGTTCCAAAAAGGCCAGCTGTCTCGTCTATAGTTGAGCATGAGCTCGCAAAATGCTTCTCCCCGAGAGACAGCCTCCCGCATCCGTCTCAGGGCAGTCCTGTCAGTATGCGAGCCATGGAGGAAGTCGTAGCGCCGACCGACTGCCTCTTGTCTTCCGTAGCCCGTGACCGTGAGGAAGCCGTCGGAGGCTGAGATGACAGAGCTGTCCGCAGCCTGTGCACTCATGAGACAGAATGCGTCGCCGAGGCCGGGATATCCATTTGTACGTAGCCCTTCCTCGCAGGTGAAAGCCGAGCCTGCACAGGAGGCCAGCTGGTGCCGGACAAAAGATGGGTACAGGTCTTTCCAGACCCTGCGCTCCACGCAGAACTTGGACTCGGCGAAGATGCTCTCGAGTCCAGGCAAAACAGCCGTGTTGAGATGCTTCATGTCACTGTTGAGAGACTTGGCAACAGGAAATGGCAAGTTGGTTGGTGAGGGCACAGTCGCCACCTCTGCGATGAACTGTTCAAGGGAGCTTGAGTAAGATTGCAGACGCATGAGAAACTCCACATCCGTCTCACATCCACGAGTTTGAGCGAATCGCAAAAGTCGCCGGCAGATCCGGGGATTGGCGAGAGCTGATTGGAAAGTGTCATCGCTCCAAAAGTCGGGAATAGGGAGAGGTTGCTCGGATGTTCCGGTGGTGAGAAGCGCGGGAGTGCCAGCGGCGGGCTTGCTTGGTTCGTTTTTAATCGCCACGCCGTCGATGCTTCCCCAGACTACACGACCGAATGTGGGTGATCTGGGTGAGCCATCCGAGTTGTAGTCTGTGTAGCGCCGGAGAGCGTCCTCGTTGGTGTGTAGTGAAAGGCCCGAGTTGCTTCTCAGCCGCATGGCGAGCTTATTCGGACGCCCACTTCGCGGGGTCGGCGGGGGGGAGACGACCATGGGTCGCGGGCGGGCGTGGCTAGCTTTCCGCGTGTCAATGAAAAGCCCGGGCGGTGCCCGAGAACCACCAGGGCCGGGTCGAGGGGATGATCTCTCTCGTGGAGGTGTAGGAGGGTCGTAATGAGAGCCCATGTTTGGGTCTCGGCGTAAAGCCGCGAAGTAGATGTAAAGAGCGTGGTGACGAAATGAAGAAGGGTGAAGGAGCGGTATGATCAGCAAAGTCGTGCCGACATTGAGGTTTGCTGAAGTCCTATGGGGTTCGAGTGTATCCGGACGTTACCGAGAAGAGTCCATACTGTTTCCGTGTCGCCGGATCGATCGAGACAAATGAGAAAGCAGGTCGGTGGGAAGGGTGCACGACATTGAGAGTGAGCAGTTCAATGAGAATGAGGGGCGGACTCGTCCATGTTATGTAACGTAACTGGCCGACCTGAAGAGGAGGGGTCACGACTCGTGCCATGCTCGATTGGAGAGCGTAGCCCGTGTCGAGCATGGGCGAGGACTGACCTGTCGAGAACATGTCAACGGGCCGCGACGAACGTGGAGCTACTAGCACGGCGCTATCGGGTCGTCAGGTGGTGGAGTGGATCGTTCTGAGGGTCGGTGCGACAGTTGCCTGCGTCGTTAGTCCAGGGGTAACCCCAACACGGGGGCTGTCATTACAGGCTGGGTGTTTGGGAGGAGCGGAGCGGTGTACGACCAGGCGGCTTAGGTCGTCACAGGACGCTCAGCCGACTGAAGGTGAAAAAAGGACTCGAGCCGCTCGTAGGCTCGTCGAGCCACCTTGCGTAGGCTCGACCTTTGTCGTGCTGCAGTGGCCACTGGCGCGACGCCGGGCTCTCAGCGATGCCTTCACTTGTCGTGTTGTTGGTGCCAGCTGTATAGATGCTGTCGACTCTGTTGCTTCGTTGACCGCTGAATCGAACGCAAGCTACGGACTGTTGGTCGATCGTCCAGGTGGAGGTTGTCCTTCTGGACCCATGATCGCAATTGCTTGTGGCCGTCGGTCTCGCGCGTTGGTCGCCGAACGACTCCATGTCTCAGCCCCTGCCATCCAAAGACCCCAGGCAAGACTCCGCCAGGCCATGCCAGAATCGCAAGATTTCGTTGTCTGGGGGTGGTGAGTGATGAGCGGTGGGAATGGCACAGAGAGAACCGAGCACCGATCGATGGGCAAATGGGCAAAGACCGATTGGGACGCACCACGCAGGGGTTGCCTTGGTAGACCTTGGGGCTGATCGACAGAAGAGGACTCTGGCGATCTCCCGCCACGGTATGCTAGTTGAGATAGCGCTGCGCACAGGTCGTTCGGGCCATACAGGCTTGGCGCGAAGCCGACGCTGAACACAAGAGAGAGAGAAAAGACTAAATCGAGAGTAGTGGCTGGCTTGCGACTCAACGCTGGCGTCTGACTTCCTCAACGTACCACCATGTGCGTGTGGTCTGGAGGAGGTAAACGGTGCGCATTGCAATGCACCGATTTGTCTGCCAACACGAGGAGACCATCATGACATGCACGCCGCTTGAAAGTCAAGTTGCCGAGAGATTGCATTCGATGGAACACGGCCGGGGGTTCGGGTGGTTCGGATACTGATGCATTGGATGAACTGGTCGTGTCTGAGACGGTGATGTTGCAATGAATTCATGCCACGGGAAGAAGGGGAGGACCGCACTGATCCCCTCCTTCCATGAAGCACAGGACTCCTCGCGCTTGGGGGCCAGTGGAGATGCCAGAAGCCTCTGAAGACCTAGACGGCGAAACCTCGGTTGACTTACCTCATCATCGGTCAAGGCCGGACCCCACCTTGCCCACCCTGTCAACGATCCTTCACCGAACCTTGTGTGTGTCTTAGGTAAGCTTTCTTCTGCCTGTTCCAGATTCTTGACGCACACGCGCACACGCTTGCAAACCAAACGAAGTTGCTCGTCTCTGCTCAGCCTTGCAATACGGCTACGACGATGATGGGAAGCTCTCATCTCGACGCGCACCATTGAAGCCAAACACTGGATCCCCGTATCCCCCATCGAACAAAGGCGCAGCTTCATATCATGCATGGTTCAACGGTGACCGGCCCTCATGATCATCATCAGCAAACATCAGCGCTCTTCGCAGGCTCGTGTCCCCCCTCACCAGGCCGCGACACACACATCACCTGACAAACAATATCTATCGCCTCACTCATTTATGCCCATCACCATCAACAATTGAACCGTCAAAATGGACCACCAAAACTCGCCATCAGTCGATTTGCTCGTCGAGAAGCTGTCTGGCGTCCAGGATCTCGTCAAGTCCTCGCACCAAATTTTGCTCTCTAGACAGGACCATCTTAATCTGCCTATCAAGACTTTCCTTCGCGCCGCGTCGGGAAAGCTGCACACAGCATTAATGCTGATCGAAGACCTGAAGAACCCGAGCCAGAAACATTTGGAGTCGCTTGGTAACCCGGGGTGGACGGCCGATCTCGCCCACGTAGAGGCCTGCAAACAAGCCCTCTCTGGCTGGCAGGTGTCCACCCAACAGCCCGCCCAGGACGTCTTGAAAACGCTCCAAGCACTCTGCATCCACCTCGACATTGCTCAACAGGCGCAGACCTTCGTTGCTTTTGTCAAGTGTCTCTCGGTCCAGTTCCAGGAGCACCTGGACAGCGCCAGCATACCTGTTTCAGGGCCCCCAGACAGAGCAGGAGTCGGCAGACTCTTTGGAGGAAGTCAAGGCATCTTTGGACCTGATATTGAGCTCCAGATTCGACCAAAAGGTTGGTTGTCTGTACGACTATAGGCAGTTGGTCCTGAGAAGGAATACTGACTTTCCTTCCTACTCCAAAGGCTGTATAACCTGGTTAGGCTACGCGGAACAGTACTGGCCGCAGCTCGGGGATCGAATCTTGCGCTTGTTCCATGCGGAAAAGGCATGCAACTTCCAGCACTGGATCTTGGAGTACTGCCAGCAGAGCTACCCCGAGATCTATGGCCTCGGGACTAGTACAGCGCCAGAACGATCCCTGTTGGTCCTCATCTCCACCATCATCGAATCTTCTGTCTCTCCGCTGCACGTCGCTGCTGCCCTCGGTCTCGCACAGGTATGCAAGCATTTGATCGGACAAAATGTCGACGAGAACCTGCCAAGCCCACTCGGGACGCCATACTACTGTGCTCTTATAGGGCCGATGGCATTGCTAGCCCAAAAGGACAGTCCTGTGAACATGGTCCAGTGGCCATGTCCCAGCATCGCTCAGATGGACACTCTCTATGCGTTCGAGAATAGCATGTGCTGGACCGACGTCGAGTCTGACAGTGACCTGGCCCCGCTTTCGTTACCAAACTTGATCTTTCTTGTCTGCCTGCGTCTGGGGTCGACTGAACTGTATCAGCACTTCTTCTCTCTTGAGCATCTCGAAAGCTTACCGGAAGTCATAATGGACGCATCTTACAGCCAAGTCCCGTGGGGTGCCCCAGACTCCGAACGCGCGAAAGCATTTCTCAGTACAACTCTGCCTTATCTATTCGACACAGTTCTCCCCGAATTCGAGGAGGTCCATGCATCTGAGGTTCTCAATGGTCTCTGGGATGTCATGAATAAGATGTGTCTTGACATGACGGTCGGCAAAGCGAGGACGCAGGTTGCCCTTATTGAGGATTGCGAATTCTTAGACATTGCCAGACGAGCGTTGCGCCACTACGAAGAGCCGGTCGTTCTGAGGCTGATTCAGGATCCCCGGTGGAAGCCTGATTCGATCCGGACCTCTGACGGTTCACCGATTTTACATTCGCTCGTCGTGGATGACTCGATAGACATGATTGAAGCAGTCGTCGACTCGGGCGCCGACATACACATCAGAGACGACGAGGGTCAGACGCCCGTCATGCGTTGTGAATCTGTCTCCACTCTTGCCTTCCTGGTCAGCCACGGTGCTCGTCTGAACGACGTCGACAACCAAGGTCAGAACATATGGCATATATGCGCCGCCAATTCCGATCGCGGCATGTTGGAGTGGTTGGTGGAACACGACCCACACATGAGGACCAACTTAGGTGTCTGCATGCGTGGCGGCCGCACGCCAACTGCTCAGGCCATGATCCACGTTCTCTTTGAGCTCACCAAAGTCGATCCGGATGGCCCTACTGACATTTGGGGCGAGGCGCTCCACCGCCGTGCCAACTTTTGTCTCGACAAGCTCCTCGCCTTTTGCAAGACTGAACCCTCCTATCTGCAAGCTTCTGATTATTCTCTGATCCACGTCGCGGCTGAATGGGGGCGTATGGGGCCAATGGAAGCATGCCTACAGTCAGGCAATGTCAAGATGGACGCTCTCGACGGAAATGGAAACTCGGCCCTCCATTTGATCAACTTTGCTGCCGATTCCGAAGCCATCTGTTTCCTGCAACAACAGTGTGCCAATGCTCCTGTTCAAAACAGCAAGGGTTACACGCCAGCCGAAACGATATTCTTTAATTTCGACAGAGCCTTCTCAGCACTCTCTCTTGAGTCGTGTCTCTCTTCTCATCCCGCATCAAGCACCCACCTGCAATTCGAGGCGTACTTGCTTTTGTTGACCCCAGAAGTCTTGTCATCGGAAGATGCGGCTGGCCGCCAACTCTGGGAGAGATTCATCGTGGACATTGTCCACGGTTGGTCGACTCGCGTCGCAGGGGGGCGGCGCGCCAAATACGCGCGCCTTCCCCTCATTGCTTTGTGCTGCAACATGCCTCGTTGCCAAGGGGGCGCTGGGTTCGTGGGAGGAAACGCGCAGGTGCTGACGCGGAATCCTCTTATTTGGGCTCAAGGAAAGTGAACACTGGGAAATCTGACCGATACTGGAAGGACCTGTGTGCAGAAGATAGAGGCCGAGGTCAACGATGACTCAGGGTGTTTGCCGGGCAGTGGGACTGAAGCGATCACGGTCAGCATCAGACGCAGGTACGCGAAGAGCCAACATGAATGGGGTGGCAGGGCAACGCACCCCACAGTCTTGACGGCCCCGACACGGATCACGACAAGAAAACCTAGAGGATTGAGGCGATAAGGCTTATGACCAGAATT